CCCTCATGATACTCCGATCTTTTGCCGTAGACTAGGAATATTAGCGAAATAGGCAGTACTGAGCACGTTACGACGCTTGCTCTGGCAACTCCAAGCATGTTATTAAGGCGCTGTTCCGCACTTTGATCCGGTTACAACTAAGCGCTGCTCATCACTTCCAGCTTTTTGACCAGCGTGCAGCAATGTGTTATGCATCAGAGCATTGTTATGTATTTAATTTCTTCCGGAAGCAGCTCAGTTAGTCAGTTTAGGATCTGGCCACGCTACTCCCTGAGCTGAAAGCTTGCTTCGGACGAATTGAGGAGAAGATACATGTCGTTGATCATCTGTCTTACAAGCTGCTTAACCTGGAAAGGCTTGTGCTCGGACTCTACCATGCCACTGGAGGTTACACACTGTTTTTTTTTTCATTTTTTTTTTTCTTTTTGCACCCTGTCCTGTAAATTTTTGTCTAAAATAATCAGGATGCAGAGTACTGGATCAAAATTTCTGTGAAAAATAGTCGATATACCTGCAGCCAACAAATCCGCTCTTTCAAAAAAAAAAAACTGAAATTTAGAGGAATACTAAATCAGATTGTTTACAGCTAAATCACCATCGACAATGACAGTGGACTCAGTAGCACCGACCGGCACCGATCCAAACGCGCTACGCAGTTCATCCTGGTGCGCGGAATCAGCAACGCATTCGCCTGTTTATATTCCGCCGCTACGACATCTCAGTGCTGAGCCCGGAAATGCTGATCAGACATCGCCGGCGTCCATTCACATTCCGTCGATACATGTCGAAAATGGAACAACTAGCACTACCTCACGAACGGAACTTATCACAAGTCCTCCGGAAAGAACGCGCATATGATTCCAGCCTCCGTGTACGTTTCATCTTCAATACGACAAATTTCCAGAAATCGCCAAAAAGCTTCGGTCATCTCTTGTTTGAGACAGTTTCTCACTTCTGAAAGAAAATTGAACTGTCGTTTCTGTTCATAATTTTCTTACCAAAAAACTTTCTGTGTTACGTAACAATGAATGTTCAGTTACTGTAAACTAATTGTAATAAAGAATTAAAGTGTATAAAATATTCATGCAAACCGACGTCTACGAGTCAGCCGAAAAGTGCTGTGAATTCTGTGAGAAACCTTTGACAAGTA